AGGAAAGGAGGAGAGGAAGGAGTCAGGCTGGCCCCAGGGACCCGGGGGGCTTGCGCTGCAAAATGCTGCCTGCTCTGGGACGTATGGATTGCTGACGTGCTCCGAGACTGGCAGTGGGATGTTTTTTGTGGTGCCCTTTGGGGCACCTCTGCCAAGCAAGCCTCAGCCCTTGGTGCTGCAGTCTAAGAACAAATGCCCTTCTCCAGGTGTGCAGCTTAGTTTGATGATAAAAGGATATTTCCTAATTAGGCAGCAAAAGGTACTGTTGTTTAAGCTGCAATGCTGTGTTACAGTCTGCACTGTCAGGTCTAGCTGGGTACGTTCCCCTTACTAACCAGCTGGGTTTCCAAAGATGCCTTATGCCTCTGCTTCCCAACTCTGTGCTCTTCCCAGCTCCCGTTGGGCAACCGAGGCATGTGTGACCCGGGGATCCTCCTGACAGGACAGGAGGGAGCTGAAACCAGGCAGAAGGCTGGGAATGGTTCCCAAAAAACTCTGATTTCTCTTTCGTACAAAAGCTGATGCTCATGGAAATATTCCTTTTTTTCTTTTCTTCTCCTTGCAGTGAACACCTACCTCTTCATGATGCAAGCCCAAGGCATCATGATTCGTGAAAACATGCGAACAATAGGAGCTCAGGTGTATGAGCAGGTGGTCCGCAGTGCCTATGCCAAGAGGAACAGCAGCGTGAATGACTCAGGTATTCCTTCAATAGCTGTCGTTTTGATCAAAGGTTCCACTTCCGCTGGAAGTGGAGTTGGTCTGAGCCCAAACCAGTCTCGCTTGAAGGCATTAATTTATGCTGGTAAATGCAGGGTGGGAACGTTGTTTAATTTGCTTTTCTTTTTTCAATACATATAAATGCATATTATATATAACATAAAAACACATATTATATATAGAATTACGGTATATATATACACATTATATATATAAAAATAATTTCTGTACATATATGTAAAATTCAAATATTTCTAACTGGGTGAAAATCTTGAAAGGTCTCAAATGATGGGATGTTGAGCTGAAAACCTTTTTGCTTTCCAGGGATTCAACTTGCTAGCCTCAACCAGTCTGAGGATAAGCACTTTCAAATTCAGTGCAAAGATCAGGTTTCATATCTGAAAAAGAACTTCCCAGGTGCACGTGTGCACAGAGCCCTGGCTCCGTGCACCTGAAGGAGCCTTTGCTCATAAGCTTCACTCTTCCCATGCAAGGCTGAACTGAGATAACTTGGCTGGACGTCTGCCACCAATAATATATGGAACTTTGGGCAGAATGCGGGGAGCAGAGTCCCAGGCTCCCACTCCCAGGCTGTTCGTCATCTCTAATACGGAGCTGATAACAGGGTTGCAAGTTTCGGTGTGAATACAGTCCAGCGAAGCAGGAGTGCACATGGCTGTCTGTCAGCCACGGTGAGGCATTGCCTTTGGGCCAGTGTGACACCGAGCACGCACCTTCCTTGCTGACCTGTCACCAGTGCCTCGGCTGGCATCAGGCTGCAGTGATACCGGGGAGCTTAGCTCAGCTCCTCCACTGCAAGGGTTCGTCAGCAGGGGCTGGTAGTTTTACAAGGCAAGGTGATTTCTGTAATAAAAAATATGAGCCGTGTCCTTGCTGCCCAGCCTACTGAGGAGTGGGTGGTGTAGCCACCAGTTCAGCTGGGTTCTGACTGGGGATGGGCACAGGAGGGGAATTATCAACTTATGCAAGAGATTGGCACCCCGGGTCACCTCCTGTCCCTGCCGGAGCCACCCAGGACGGCCAGCCCAGGCTATTTTTAAGGCTGGAAACATCAAGTAAAGCAGACCAGGGTAAGGAAGTGGCTGATCCCCCGAGGGGAGGGACAGTAGACGCTCCACTGCTGCCGCTTGCTGTTCTGGCCTTCCCAAAATCGGCTGTGTGCTCCTGCTGTCTGCAGCAGACAGGGATGTGGTTACCACGTTAGCATTGGTGGTACCGGTACTGCTGCTACTGAAACGACTGGCTTTGCTCGGCCCTCATATCCATCCCAGCTCAGCAGCCATGGGCTGAGACCCCTCCTGTGCTGAGAGCTCCGGCCGCCAGGACGGTTTTAACGTACACAAGCACTGTGCACCGTCCTTGGGCGACCTTCCCTGGCAGCCAGGTCAAAACAGGAGCATGACGGGTGGCGGGGACATCTGGAAGGCACGTGGCACTGTGGCCACAAGGAGTATATTAACATCAGGATCAGTATCTTCCCTCCCTGACTCACTTTTCAGGTGCCTCGGTGGGCTGTGGGCAGGGGGCACTGCCTGGTTAGAGCATCCTGCGCACGCTGCTGCGGGCAGAGTGGTGGCTGGGAGAGCACACCTGCCTGGTGTGGCTGCAGGGAGGAACCCAGCAAAGGCCTTGGCTGTCCCAGTCATGACTCAGAGGTTCTGGGAGCAGCTCCCAGGCTGTCCTACCCTGCAGGCAGCAGCAGCGGTCACATCCCTGCACATCCCTGCATCCCTTGCCCTCTTCCTGGGAGAGGTGTTTGTAGCAGGGGCAGGGATGCTGCTGCTGGGGGTGAGCTGGCACAGGCCAGAAGCCAGCATGGGCAGCAGAAGACCCTGCGGCCACTCTCTGGTTGTCCCTGTTCCAGCTGCATGGGAGCACTGGGAAGTAGGAGGCTGCCGATGCTTTCTCAGCTGCAGCCTCTCTTGCACATCACGCGTGCCCCAGCAAGGGGCTGAGGGCCGAGCAGTTCTATGTGCAGTGCTGCCTTGTGTGTGCGTCCTCCTGGGAGCTGAGGCTTTCATTTCTAGGCAGATTCCTTAAAAATGCGATATCCCACCCTGAAAGGCAAGGTGACCAAGCACAGCATGGGCTGCTGCAAGCACAGTGTGCTTGTCCCCATCCATCTGCATTTATTCTTTGCCCTTAGCTTTTTTCCTCTTGTATTAAAATAACAAAGTAATTTAGAACTTTTTCCAGCATTTGCTAATAGATGCAATAATAGGTTTCCTGTTTGGTGGATCGAGAGGGGCCCCTTCTGTGCTTCCTCGAGCAGAAAAGGCAACCCTTTGTGGAAAAAGGGGAGTTGAGCTTCACCGTGCATTGTCAGCTGGGCGAAGTATTGAGAGGGCACTCTGGTGGTAGGAGTTTAATGGGAATCTGGTTATTAAAATTTAGAGCAGTATCAAGCATCCAAAATAATGTCTCTCATACTTGAAAAGCCCTTAGGTTCTGTTTACAAGTCCACCTTGGGTCTGAGATAGTTTGGGTACTACTTATTTGAGCGGGTAAACAGTATTAATGGCATGATGGTAGGTGCTAGCACAGTAAAGCAAGCTGAAACATGAGGCCAGCAATGACTTGTCCCAGTTGATTTAAATAGGAGACTTTGACCTTGTAGGTAAAGGCAACCCTCCCTGCTTTGCTTTGAAAGATTAAATTGTTGCTAGATTATTTTTTCTTGATGTATCATTAATGTGGTTATTAGGTGTAGCCTTTCTGCTATGGAGAATATACTGTGCTTATGTAATTACTTAAATGTTCCTATTCTTAAATATGGCTTAGATTCTTAACTCTTAATCTTAGCTGATTCATTCACTTCACTGTAATTCTGGATTTATTAAATTGCTCTCTGGATAACATGTGTGAAACCTTTTTGCTGTCAATATGTTCTTGAAACTAAATGTATGCTTAATTTGAAAGGTTGTAGCTGCTGGTTTAAAAAAAAGAAAATATCTGAATTTCACACTGGGTTCCGTAAAATAACTTAAAATCTGGGTACCTACAGTAAATAACTGTTTGCTGATGGAACGCATGTAACCTTTGTGTCCCAAGGTTTTGTGAAGCTGCTTGGGCAGCTCTCGGGGAGTGGCGGGGGGGGGCAGAGCCAACACTTTTTTTTTC